TGTAAGGTCAGGGAACCAGTCTAGCTGGCTCGTACCCGTTCATAGGTTTGTAATCGATTGCAAACAAGTGCAATGGTCAATTGGGGCCAGTATTTGAAAAAAAAGCCAGTTGTTTCCAACGCTGATCGGCCGATCAGCGTTGGAAATTGATACAAAAATACCACTTTTCTTGAAAATGACAGTATACCAGGTGCCATAATTTTACAGGATGCTTTAGACTGTCATTTACCAACATCCTGTTTAGGTATTTCGCAAAAACTTGGTAGTTTTATTTTTCGATGTTTGCAAATGTTGTATATTCCCTTTAACCGAGAAGGGCGTTATTGCCCTACTGCTTCGACAAAATTATGGCGGTGGACATGGATCACCTTTGTATCAACAGCTTTCCCCAAATATCCGATTTATATGTGTTTTTCGAAACCTGGTCAGCCATAGAACCTGAAAGTTTACCCCTTTGGTGGCGCGCTTCCGGAACCCTTGAATAGGAAAATGTACCTGCACAATTTCAAATAATTGCAATAATTTTTGGTACATTGATTTCTTAACTAAATTACCCTCGAAAGAGGCCTTTGTAAAATTGAATTGTAAGTAGTGTCTCAATTTATGGAAACTGAAAAATCGCCTGACGTGAAGGAGAAATATCGTGCTCAAAACTGACCTCTCACTTCCGAAAATCTCAAAAGCATTTGGATTAGTGAAAATCGGTGTATTCGTACGAAGATGAAAATGTATACAAATAATTTGTGGCGGTTATCGGGTGAAATTGAAAGTTAAATAGGAGACTAATATGTCTTGTAGGATGTAAACTTTTTTGAATATTAGCATTTACAAACAAAATCTAAAACGGCCTTTGATAGGAAAACTGTATTTAAGCCAGCACGACTAATCCACAACCCATCGGCTCTTGGTAGGTTAACATTTGCGCCGTTATACATTTCTGTTCTCACGCAAGTACACCATGTGAACATATTTAATGTGAACCAACAATGAAATCTAGGAACGAAAATGCCCAATGTGACTACAGTGAAAAAACGTTCTGTCAAAACTATACCAAGGGAAAAGGACAACCCAGTGTAAATGCCCACATGGTTCCGGGTTCCGAAAGCTTACCGCGTGAACTTTCACTTTCATGATCTATTGCATTGTTCTTCCTCCTTCCGGACCCAACGAGTTTTATGAGTTATTTTGATTATTTAAAATTAATCGAGAATTCACCCTGCACGATTGTGAAGCAAGCGTGCGACTTTTTAGATAAAACATGCTAGTTTGTTTCAAGGGCGGATCCAGAACACAATTTTTTTGGGGGGCCCAAAAAAAAATTGTGTCTCCAAAAAGTGGGTCAACAAATTACGGCGTGGGGTTCGGGGCCCGGGCCCACTTAAGGGCCCCGACATTTTTTTTGGATTCTCGATGCTCTGTGGTGCGATCTGAGGTAATTGCTGACCACTAAAACCAATGTTTTTTTAAGGAAAAGATGGTGGTGTACTCATTGTCTGCCTTAATTGCGACGTCACAAAAAAAAACCAATTGGTTTCTTTTGGGGGGGGGGGCATGGCCCCCTTTGGCCCCCCCCCCGTATCCGCCCTTGGTTTGTTTCACTACAGTTTGACTAAAGTAGGCCCTATTTTTCAATGGAATTTTTGTGTGTTTTCAGGTTTGTTTTTCTTCATTTAATTTGTTGCTTTTTGATAATTTGATCATTTACTTATTTTACTCAGCACTCCGTATTATAGGATTTTTTTTTAATATCCGAGTGCTGCTTGGGAAAAGAGCCCATTTTCTTAGAGAAAATTGGCGAGAATAAATAAAGTTCTGGTGTTTTTCTTTTTCATAAACATTAAGTAAAAGCCGATTTTGTTTTAAGTTGTATATTCCATCTTAATTGCGTTATTACTCTTTCAATTCTATTTATTTATCTTCACAATGTAAGTGTGCTTGGCCATGTGTTTCAGCTATCGTCAGTTGAAGTCTTTTAGCGATTATGCAGTTCGTTTTTAAATTATTTTGAAAAGGAATTGCAACATTTCATAAAACAGGGCAAAACATTTCCTCTCTCAAAAATGTTGACATTGTTCAAGATGACAAGGAATTGTCTAGCACAGCATTTAAAATAAAAATAATGTTCAGAATGTTGAAACTTAAACACTTCAAGAAAATGGAAAACGTGGAAGATGCAGAAAATATTTTTCTTTGGGGGGGGGGGGGGTTTACCGGTATCGTAAAATGCAAAGGCAAACAACAATTAGGTAATCAAGAAAGTAAATAATATTTGTCTTCAATGTCCCAATACGCTGAAAAAAACGTGATTTCTGATGGACATCAGTGTATGAATTTAAGGAAAATGTAAATTGTTTTAACATTTCCTCACCGAAAAAAAATATATCGTTAGTGTGGTTTACAGTTTTGTGGTTCCTGTTCTTGCAGATGGGAAACTGTTGACTTTTCTGCTGGTTCTTTACGCAGCTTCCAATGGTATGTTTAGTTCTTTTTATTCGTTTGTTTAGTTTTGTTGCTTCATGTATTTCCTTATTTTCACAGTGAAATGAACTGATGAATGATGGACTTGCAGAAGGCGGTGTCAAATAATATTCAATGTTTTTATTTTTCAAGGGATTTGGGAACAGTTCACTTTAACCACGGATTTTCACCAATCGCAATGGGTGCTGTTTTCATGTTGAAAGGATGTATCTCGAATATCGAGCGAATAAATGAATTTGAGGTCATTTAAAAAAAAAGAAAGCGCATGTTAGTTAGTAAACCCACGTTTTCTAATGAGAATTTAAACTTGAAAGAAATATGCATCTTTAGTTGTTAACCCCATATTGTTTTCAAATGAAAAATAATATAATATTCTCAGAATAGTGAAGTATTTCCTAAAAATCGTGTAAATTGCTTCAAACAGTAATTCTCTCCTCAATTTTAACCCCCTAGATTAACACAGACTTCCTAGATTCTTTTAATCAAATTTTATCTGCCTGATTATTCTTCCCATCCCAGGGCCAGGCCCCGTCCCGCCAGATAGTAAACTACTCGCATCAACGTGTTCTTCTCGGGCTCCGTCTTCTACATTCATGAGATTTGGGTGGAAACGATTCTTCCCTCAAAACACCTGATGGGCACTGGGCTACCCGCCCCCCCCCCAAAAAAAAAAATCACCCTGACTCCTCCCGTATCTCACCCCACCTCTAATCGTCGGGTACTCTTTCGTTATTGTTTATGTTTGTTGTTTGCTTCATTTGCTTGTCTTGTTTGAGTGTGCTAAGTTTTGACTACCCTCCTAGTTTCTCTGTATTCTCCACATTCTAATACCTTGGCACCTTAGACCTAGAAACCTACGTCGGAATCTTCAATATTCATTAACTGTGTTATTCATTATATCAACTTGTCGCACAACTGAACTGATGAACTGTTGTGTTGAACTGGTTCACTAAAATACAATAAAGACATAATAAACTTGGATTATTATGCGAGCAAAATCCACCATCTTGTCCACAGCCCTGACCGGGTCTATCTCCTCGCTGTCTAAATTCGGAATGATAATGAGGAAGAATCTCCTTCCCGTACTGTCTTGCTGATGATGTGATTAAAAGCAAGTCCTTGCAAAAATACTTGACACTGCACAGGTCTTCGTACGACCTAAGTCAGCCGCGAGATCCCTACTCGACCACACAGGCAGAGGAAAAAGCGAGGTCTCTGTGGAGAATGTAATGTTTAGGGTTCGAGTGTGACCCTCATCGCCAGATGACGAAGCTCCCGTAATAAAAGGGACTAAAGCTTTTACATTGCGTCACCCGATCTCTAAGGGCAATGAACACTGTCATAGGCCAACTTCTAAAACGTCCTCCCTCCGCTACTTGATGAATTTCCACACTTTGGGGGGTATTTTCCGGCTGTTTTTGTGCCGATCTAGCAATCAGACCACCAAGCTGTGGAGACGCCGGAATTGCTAGTGATGTATTATCTGTCGCCCCCAACGCTCACAAAAATGCAAATAGAAATTCTCTGTCACGATAAAGAGAAGTTCCATTGCACGGTCACACAACCAATTAGATGACGAACATTTATGCGGACATTTATCGAAAAGGTCCCCAAATCTATATACGTATCTGTTATCTCAATTTCTATGAATCCTTAAAAATTGTTATTTCATGAGTAGTTGAACACTAATATTATCTACGTATATTCCGAATTTCACCTTAATCTGGTGTTCCAAACGCTTGTGCTAGTAGACCTTGTACTGTCACCGAGGTAAATTTCGACTCGGATTTTTTTGCCGAGCAAAAAATTACATGTGGTCTACGGCACGTTTAACACACCACAGCCGATATGTTTGCCGTAACGGTGACGTGCGCGATATTAGCATATTTATTAGTGTGACTCGGAGTGACTTCGCGTTGGGCTCGGTATCGACCAATGGAAGCCTGCCAAAGAGTTTGACGTTTATTTATTAATAACTCGTAATAATATGGATAGTGTCCTTATTACTATTTTTGAGTCTTGAAAAAAGATTGACAGATGTTGCAAACGCCATTTTGTTACAGCTGTTATGGCGCAACATGCCGGCCCACATTTGTTGTTATTATTATTATTTATTCGACCATCACAAAAACAAAACAAAACAAAATTGAGTAAAACGTGCATAAAACAACAACCAACAAGTACAGTAAGACGGTAGCGGGGACCTGGGACGAAAATCCGAATACATGACAAGACAAATGACAGTTATGTGGGTCAGGGACCGCAAAAGTAACATGAACTACTATTACCCGCGGGTATGCAGCCCCGCACATAACGTTGAAAAGCAGTGTTGTAGTCGAGACCTGGAAGTCCGAGACCGAGACCGAGACCGAGACCTTGAGGTCCGAGACCGAGACCGAGACCGAGACCGAGACCTGGAGGTCCGAGACCGAGACCGAGACCTGAAGGTCCGAGACCGAGACCGAGACATCGAGACCACATGTGTAAATTACATACATGTAATAAAATTAGACTCATAGTAATTGAAATGAAAGTCTTTTATTGATGTAAAACAAACTGAGTATGTCTTGTGCTGTTAGATAATTACTGTTAAATCCTTTGTGTACTTGTTTCACAATAATACTGTACTTGATAATACAATAGTTATTAACAACCATTTGTTCTGTCGGATTCTGGAATGTGCCAGAAAAGTTTTTTTTTTGTATAGGTACAGGTCCCTTTCACAGAATATCTTCATTGCACTTCAGAAACATCAACATGGACAGCATCTCTGCTGACAAACGTGCACGATGTGGGCGCATGATGATCCCTCCCCTGCTGAAGATTCTCTCCACAGGGGCAGATGATGCTGGCACTGAGAGAACTTTACATGCCAGCTTGTACAGGGTTGGAAGCTTTTTGGCCATGTCCTGCCAAAACTGTAGCACTCAGGATAGATTGAGATTCGCTGACCACCTGAAGATACTTCACAAGTTGCCGCCTAGTTGTGTCCTCTTGTGAAGGCCCCCCACTTCTGTGTCTGTGTCGGCTATATTTGGCGAGGAGGCGTGGAACTTTCGCAGGAACTTCCTCTTCCTCTTCACTTGATGTTGAAATACCATGGGTATGGGGGGTGACATCTTCAGAAAGAGAGTTAGCATCAGCCTCAGTGATGACCAAATCTAATACAAAACATTAAAATTTAAAAGATTCATTCAGGGTAATAGTTATATTAGTTTTGGTTTCCCATGGTGCAGACAGACTGACGCATTTGTAGAAGCATTTTAAAGCCACAAGACAGGCAACTACCTCTTTTGTGCAGCAACCTCGAAATTGCAAACTTAAATTTTCAACAGCCAATACAAAATCCATACAAGTTAAAATTAGTTTAACTTTAAATTACCTTGCAACATTTCTTTCAACTCCTCCCTGGTGTGTCTGAGGGAATATGCATCTGTGTCAATGACGACATCAATGTCTACCCACTGGTCATGGTCATGCATTGTTATTGGGGGTGTTCTTAATCATAATAATGAAAATTTAAATAATGTTAATTTGTGTTACTTACTTGGCTTTATGGGCACGACTTAAATGCCTAGTGAATGCTGAACTCGATTTGTGGTTGAGCAGAAAATGCAAACTGCAGAATGTTTGTTGTTACCTGCTTTGGCGTCCATGATCTCTTTATGGTCCTTAAAACCAAATCTTATCACAGCAGAATTACTGGACATCTTGCGTAAATTGTAAAAAAAAAAACAGCGAAAACTTTATTTTATCGTGCTACTCTAGCGAACTCGTACTGTAGTGAATGCTCCTGTTTGCACCATGCGCCATGCACCTGTTTACCATTCACAACGAGTAGTTCGTGTTTTGGTCGTAGCTAGGAACTCGCTCCCAATTTTTATTGAACTCATGATGCGCGCATGAAGCCGATGGCACAAGCACACACATGATCGCTGCGTGCAAGCTCACACAACCAAAAGCGAGGTTGTCTCCACGTACTGCAAGTTTTCTAAAACTATTTGCTATCTGTTTATCGTGATAAATGATCTCGAACGAATACGGTTAATCGAATAAATTTGTGCAATGAATATATTGTACACAATGGGAAATATTTGCGGGTCTCGATGTCGAGACCAGCAAAATATCGAGACCGCCGTGGTCCGAGACCGAGACCGAGACCGAGACCACAGGGTACCGAGACCGAGACCGAGACCGAGACCAGCAAAAAGTGGTCTCGAGACCGGTCTCGAGACCGAGACCGGTCTCGAGACCTACAACACTGTTGAAAAGACAGATTAGTGTCCTTTGTTAATTCAGATTTGTGTCCTTTGTTAATTTGCCATGAGCTTCGCATAATGCGAGTTGGCATGCGGTGTCTGTGTCCCTCAACGTGCCGTCGGGCCCACGAAGCTGTATCCGAATCCGTCGTCAAATTGCTTGAGTTGCTTTAATTAAAGATAGTTGGTTTTATTTTGTTCAGCAAACCTGTCTACAACTGTCTATCCGCTCGCTGTGTCGATCCCTACGGGGTGTGGCGACCATGTCGTACCGCGCTGCCACACAGCCATAACACAGCTTTGAAAAATGGACGTACACAAGCTTATTTGTCAAATTTTGATCGAAAAATACTAAACAAATCAGAACGATTTTTAGCACATAGTTGGATCATTATAAGGGAAACACACTCCCAAAGTGGCATGAAAATACGCTCTTTAAAACGGGATAATTCGATGTCCAAAGATTTTGCTCGCGATCATCAAAATGACTGTGTATGTAACGGTGATTTGAGTTTGTTTCATTCAAAATTATGTATTACGTAAGCCTTACAAATTCTCCTTCCTAACGGTAAGGCTGCGTAGGCAAGAGTTCAAACATACATGTTTAATCGGCTTGCCGAATCGACTCCTTGCACAGAGCGCCCTCAATGAGTACAGGTTTCGATTTTTTGTTTGCAAAGATAACAACGTAAGAACAGAGTGTCTACTTATGGGAATCACCGAGGAGCAAAGACCTGTCCTGGTGAGGGCGCTCTTTGCAGATGGTCTATTGACCCAATGCATTTCTTTTCACTTATTGAATCATCAGCTGTTGCTCTCAAGTGCCATGTGTGTGCGCATATAGTCTGCAAGGACGGCGAGATTGGCGAACTTCGGATTTGCCCGGATATCCCTAGACGCGTGGCCGACCAGTGCTTCAAACTGGACGGGAAGGTTTCTGGATCTATTAAAGGCATGGGCTAACCTTTATTTATTCCATATGGGACCCATATGGGTTATCCAATGTGCGGGTCTACCTGGGCTTTTCCATATGGGAATAACCTGGGCAAGCCGATATGGGCCAAAAATGGGGTAACCCATATGGCCCTCATAATGGGTAAAAACTGGGCAGACCCATGTGGGCAGCAGAATACGGCCGGCCCATGGGTAAAAAATTTGGGCAGAATACGGGCTGGCCCATATGGGTGTCGTATGGAGGGGAGAGGAAACTGGGTAAAACCCATGTGGGAGGAATACTGGCTGGCCCATAATGGTTCTCATAATTATGGGAAAACGTGGGCCTGCCCATGTGGGCAGAATACTATAGCTGGCCCATATGGGTGTCATTAAGGAAAAACCTGGGCCTTATGGGTAAAAACTGGGCAAACCTATGTGGGCAGAATACGGGCTGGGCCATATGGGTGTCATTAGGGGAAAAGTCGGACAAAACCCATGTGGGCGGAATACTGGCTGGCCCATAATGATTCTCATATGGGAAAACGTGGTTCTGTCCATGTGGGCAGAATCCGGGCAAGCCCATATGGGTGTCATAAGGGAAAACGCTTTGCAAACCCATGTTGGCGGAATACTGTCAGGCCAATGTGGGTATCAAAGGGGAAAACCGTGGGCAAACCCATGTGGGCAGAACCTACACCGCCTGGCCCATAATTATGTGTGTCATATGGGGGAAATCAGGGCAATCTGATGTGAGTAGAATACGGGCGGGCATGGGAAAAACCTAAGAAAACCCACGTGGGCAGAATACGGCATGACCAATTTCGGTGTCATGACATTGTAGGGAAAACTTGGGCAAAGCCATGTCGGCAGAATGGTCCATGTATGATTTTGTTGAAGACTTATTAGAGGAATGCTTTGGTCACTTGTAATTGACATTTAAACTGAGCTTCCGGTAGAGAAGTTAATTTCAACGTAGGTATGTTACTCTACCAAAATACTGAAGAATACATGGTCTGTCTAATTGCAAATTACGAACACGATTGGTGATTTTGTGTGAAGTTAGAAGAGAAATAAGTTTGTCTCTGTTGAAGAGAAATGGCTTTCAATTCACCTAGCTGTGAGCTACCGGCAGAACTAGTTGTTAATGTGAAATGATCGGTCAGGTACACTTGCCAATATGAATGGTGTATCCAATTAGAAATGATGGACACCAGTGATGGGTTTGTTGCAGAGGGAATGGCCTCTATTAAATCAAAGTTTGAACTTCCGGTCGATCCGGAAGTAAATGTCAAAGGAGGTCATATACAGTACGCAAATGTTGATCTACGAATGTTGCATCGAATTGCAAAGTATGAATATAATTGGTAATATTGTTGAAGAGTTTTAAGATATATAATTGATCAAATTTTGCACATCCGGTAGAGCCGGAAGTTAAGGTCAAACGAGGTCGTGTACACTGCCAAGTTGTTGTTCAATTAATTGCATATGGAATGGGGGTTTTGGTCAAGAGTTATAAGCTAAAAAAGTTGTTTAGAAAAATAGCTTGTCGAGCATTGTAGAGTGGCGTGCAAATAGGTCATGAATATTTATAACGTAACTGAGCATGCCCACTTGTGAAACAAAGCTTTGGGTAGAGCATAAGAATTGCTAACAGTGATTTTGGAACTGGAAATTATGGTGCGTATATGTAGGAAGTGTGTATGTAGAAGGGGCAAGCGAAGATAGGGAGGGGTGGTTACGGGGAAGGTGCTGATGGGGTATTTTGGGTGAGGATGTGATTTGGGCGGATTAAGGGCTGCACTACGGGTGGGGATTAAGGAGTTTTGGAATGATTGTGATATGGAGCATTAAGGGGGTGTATTAGCGGGGCAAATAAAGGTGATGTGATTTGGGAGATGGATGGGGTATAATGGGGATGTGAATTGAGAAAGACATGGAAGGGATATGATAAATTAACATTCAGGATCAAAATTAGGATAAGGATTAGTAAGACAGACCACACACACATAGTGCCCATATACTGCTGGCCCACCTGGGCCCCAGATCAATCCCATTCGATGAGCATAATGGGTCTACCACATATGGAGCCCATATTAGGTCAACCCGTATTAGCTTTCCATATTTTACCCCAGATGTTTTTGCCCATATTATTTTACCCAGATGTTTGCACAGGTGGGCCCTAGACCTAACCCATATGTGTTATCTGGGCTGGTCCATGTGGGTCCCACATGGATCTTGGGTGCAATATTTTTGGGGCCCATATGGGTCCGCCCTTATGAGACCCATATCTTGGCCCAGATGGGACACATATGCCACCCATATGGGCTTGCTACTTGGGAATTTTCTCCATCGTAATAAGAAACACTATAATAACCCATTATTGTTTTAGCAAATAGGGGTGCTTTATTCCGCTTTATCCGGGATACAGGCTGTAGAAACATGCACCACGTTCATAGCAGTTAAGAAACTTTATTGCAGTACCACAAAAATAGGTGAGAAAATTACAAGAAGGATTGCCCATAAGCTGTAAAAAAAAAAAATTTCTCACAACCTGGTGTGACATATTTTGACCACAGTACTATTGAACACCCTCAATTCTCCTTCAGGAGATAATGGTAAAATGTGGTTTGTTTTTCTTTACAGGAGACAGAATTACTTACAGTTACAGTGGCGTCCTTCGCGGCTGCAACTTCCTACGGGCAAACTTCGACGCTCCGCCCCTGCAGTGCTTCTCTGGCTCCAAGGCTACTACTTACTGGGAAGGCATGCTCACCCACATGTTGCCTGATGATTATAATTTAGATGTCACGGGCGACTTCTGCTTCTGCGCAGGCGACGGCTGCAACGGCGTAGACTCTCTCAAGCCGTTCCTCTGGTTGATCCTCACCGTGGGCTTGATGCACATGCTGCTGATGTAAATGACGGCTGGTACGTGTACGACCACCTATATGTGGAACTACGCACGGCCAAATGACATGTTTAGCTTAAACTCGCTTAGTTTAGAATGAGTAGCAGGTTACTGTTGAATAGTTAAACTGCTTTATTCTGCTGCTTTACTTTTACAGACTTTTCACTCAATTTAGTATGTATTATACTGCACTTGTTTCGCGTGTTATCTTGGCACCAGTTATGCATTTACCCGCGCGTGAACTTTTACCATTCCCATTTAATTATGGAACAAAATATAGCTATAAACCCACATGATATCTGCTAAGTATAAAATTATTGACTCTTTGGAGTGGTGTTGTAAAACTCGCCCCCTCCCCTCCAGGTGATCCATTGTGCATTCTTTTCTCTATTGATCACCGATGGAGGCTGGTTTTACTACGCCATGAGATAAACACCTCTCCCGCGGATTCTGCTTGATTACGGAATAATTTAATCTAAATACATTCAGCGGCGTGGCTAAGGGGCGTGGGAGGGGGGCCCAATAAAAAAAAAATCCGCACCCCCGAATCGCCTCCCCCTCCCCCCTAGAAATGCGGCAACTGGAGAAAAGCCCATACCTATGAGTTACCATGATTAGCGGCTTGAACATTAAGTGCCCGTTTTCCAAGATGTTTGTGTTTTTTACCAAAAACCTGTTTTCGCGAGTGACTGTTTATTTGAACGTCCGTTGAAAGCGAACAGTGCTAGCTAATTTTGACATTGACCATGAAACTGCCCCCCCCCCCCTACGATTTGCTTTTTTCGGAGGTTGGGTGTCAGTGCTGAAAGGTAGACTTTTT